TATTATAGATCCTTCCAACTTCAGTCAAGGGTAGTTCTTGATGCTGTGATGAATGGTAAATTTTTTGTAAGCCAATAGTCCTCCTTAGTGACCAGGAGTGTCTTTGCTTTTTTTATTACACTCATAGTTGTTTTTAGAAAGTGCTTACCAGGACAAATGTCCAAAAACTAGTAGTTGCATAATTTCACAGAAGAGTGAAGACTTGCAACTAATGTGTACAATTGACTTCCTTTCATAAAGCAGTGTTTTTTGCAGAATTCATCTGAAAAGCAGAAGAAGTGACATAGCCATGGTTGTTTTCATGTGAGATAGACTTAATATTATTCCCAAGATAAGGGTGTTAATTTTGGCTGCCTCCTGTTACTAGCATTGTTATTTAAGAATTTTTTTTCTTTAAGGCAGCAACTCCTAAGGTGGAGTTAGGGCAAATCTTAAAACTATGTGTGTGGAAAAGTATTCTTTTATCTCTTCATAAAAAGATAGGAACTTCTTATTAGAGGCCTTCCTTTGTTGTTGTTTGTGGTTTGAGTCTCACATTTAAACTGTAGAAAACTTACCCCTCTTAGTGCAGGACAGCTTTTAGTTTTGTTATAACTAGAGTGGGCAGACTGCTTGTTAAATAAAAAAAAAATAATTTATAAATAATAAATCTAAATTCTCAGTTCTGGAATTTTTAGTTTTCCAACAATATGGTAAGTTTTATAGAAGATCAGATGATGTGTGCAGGGTTCTTTTTGGTTTTTGTTTGTTTTAATTTCTGTGTTAAGTTCAGTTTTCTTAGGGGGAAAAAACTGGGCTTGCTTTATAAACAGTTGTATAACAGGAACTGGATGGGGGGGGAGGTGATAAATGTGAAAGGCTTCAGTGTCAAAGCAGAATTAGAGGATTAGAACAAACTTCTCCATCTAACTTCTCGCAGAAGTATTAGACTGTGCAAGCATGTCTTTCTGAATTTGCATTCATCTTAAATGAGCTCTATTGAGTACATTCTGCAAACGTGCCAACTCAGTGACTGTCAGTTGTATTTATGCAATTTTTTCAGTACTCTAACTGGATAACAAATACAGTCCAGGCATTTACCACTTTGAGATTAAGAACTGTTCTAATTTACAATTTGCCTTAGCTTTTGAAATGTATCCTCTTTCATTTTGTCACTGATGCTCAAATGTCAGTAACCCTGAGGTATAAATGATAATAGTCTAGCAAAAAAGGGAACTTGTCAGGATTTACAGGTCTGCCCAGGTGTAAGAACCTTATAATATTAAATTTACTGCTGAAAAATCATGAACAACTTGTTCTGCATTGATAAAACTCCTAGAAAATAACTTGGAAGAGTAAATAATGCTAGAGGATACTATGTTCAAGCGGCATTTTTAAAATTATCAGTCTCAAAGTGAACTTTGCTAGGTTCACTGTAATTTTGGTTGAATCCTTTATGTAATTCTGAAAATCTGGTCTTTGGCGATGATGCTGGTTGAAATTACAAATGAAATCGCTTTCTTATTTGCAAGAGATGATGGAAGACTGTATAATTAGGACTGATATGGAAAGGCTGAATGGCAATCAAGTGATCCTTGGCTCTTCCAAAAGAAATGAGGAGGCAGTAATGAAACCAGTGGATTTGAAACAAAAGGAGGTTTGGGTTTGGTTTTTTTTTTGATGAAAAATATGAAGATGTATTTTAATTGGTATTGTTTTTTCTTTAAATGTCAAAGATGTGTACACTGAGTGAAACAAATTTTGACTTGATTTCTGTTCCTGAGAAAGTCAGAAAGTAAAATTTCAAGCTGAAATTAAAAAGTGTAAAATGGCAAATCTTTTGCTTTTAAAATAATGGTATGTTGAGGTAAATCAGGGGTGTTGATACAAAGTTTGTTTCTTTTTCCTTGTTTTTTGAAACTGCTGGTTAATTATCTAGTTATCAATGGCTGCCTACCTTGGTTCAGATTTAAAAAAAAAAAAAGCTTGGAATCAACTAAATTCTCACTGCTTTTATTTTTATGGTAAGTGTGCAGTATCTGTACTCTTTAGATGAAGAAACCAGACTACAAATAACAAATTTGTAGGTTTTGATCCTAAAACTGAATTCCTAATGCTTCCTGCATAGGCATATGAGTAAAAATAATGTACTTTTAGGAAGTACTGGGTGAAACACATTCAGATGCTCAGGAGCTGTGACAATATAAGCCTTTTTTTATTTGAAATGCCTAGGCATGACTTAGGAGCGTAACTCCTTACCTAGATTTAAATATTGGCATAAGCTCTTACCAGAGGGACAGAAGAGTTGGTATCAAAGGCAGGAACAGAAGGAAGGAGTGTGGCTATTCAGGAATGTACCAGTGAAAACGTTGCTCCATCCGCAGCTGTCCAGGATAATCTTGTTGCAGAACCAGAAAAGGTGGAGAAAACCTCATCCAGTCCTGAAAAGCTGGTAGCTTGGTTTTATATCAGCTTGTTGTGGGAGGTACAGGTTCACTCCCTGGCTTCTGAATCAGTCAGATCAGGAATTTTTCAAGTAATGGTCAGAATCTCTAAATTGCAGCGGTTGTTTTTTTTTGACTGTGTTCTTTTTTGGGGTGGGGTCCACTCCCCACCCCCTGTGGGAAAGAGTGAAGTAGGTTTAATTAAAAAATATAAAGCTTCCTCAAACAGTTTTGAGCTATCAAGCTGTTAAGTGGTCAGAAAGCTATTGTACTGTGTTATTGCAAAAGCTACTGCCCTGGAGAGTAAATGCAAGGCAAAAGAGCTACTTTTCATGCTTCCCCAGGCTCTTTGAGCTAATACACCAAGGAAAGTCTGGCTTAAAGGGGAGTGTGCATACATGCGACTTTATCTGCTTGTTCTCCTTTTAAGTCAGTGATTTCTATTTCTTATTTTTTCTGCAGTTTCGTAATCTCAGAAAAGAGCGGCTTCTCTTTACCAGGCTGAGGCCCCAGGGTGCTTGCTGCTGTAACGCAGAGGCATCGCTGAACAAGTTGTCACTCAATCAGTAACAGCTTTGCCAAGCTCGGGGAGAGCAGTAGCCTAGAAACATAGCCCAGCGGTGACATTAAGGGCTTTAGTCTCAAAAGTCTTTGGAGGGAGTCTAATATTAACCAGGCTGTTTAAAGAGAGATGCGTTGAGACTTGAGATGCATATATTTGGCTTTTGAACTTTGGATTTATCAGTGACTTTAGGTTTGTCAGTGGCATATGGGAAACGTACAGAATTTCTACTCATGCTGGGGGTTTTGTGCATTTTTCTGGAGTCAAATATGAATCAGAACAGTTTAGGATTCCCAACCGAGGTAACTGCCTATTTTCAGATATTATGCAGACATGTTTATGCTATCTCTGTAGCTTAAGCTCATACTATTTGAATTTTCCTTTCATAAGTTGTGTGGATAAAGATTTAAAATGCTGTTAAATTTATAATTCAATCAGCATTAATTCCTAGCAGTCTTTGAGTAACTAGGTTTTCCAGTAGTAGTAGGTAGTGTGCAGTTGACTTATAACAATTAAGCAAGAACTTCGCAAAGGAAAGTAAACTCAGATAACGTATCATATACTCTGGCAGCTCAATACGCGTTTTTCTCCAACATTGATTCGTGCTTCCATCTATTGCCATGAACTAAAAATGCTTTGGTACTATGTCTGTGTTGCAACTGACTGCCCTAAATCTAAACTGCAAATTCATTTAAACTCAGTTCTTATTCTTTACTCCATTGTTTTGGGAGAGGAAAAACCAACACTTACTACTTACTTTTACCTTTTAAATATTTATTTAATTTTACAGCAATCTTAAATTAATTTTGAGGAAAATGTACACAATGTTCTAATAGCTGGGAAACATACATAACAGGAAGTTTTAAAGCATTTTTGTCTATGTAGTCCTGTTTGTAACAGTAATATACGTAGATTTCTCCTTTGACATGGCTTTGACTTTTCAAAATGTCTCAATTAATTTTGCCAGCATGTAGTCCAAGTAATTTATTTTTATACTTTATAAAGTTTGCAGGTAAATAGCATTTGAAATTTTAAATGCTTGTGTTAAAAATATTTCTAGGACACAAAGGTTGAGAGGAAGTTTCACTCTAAAAATTACTGTGTCTTGAATTTCTTTATGGGAAACCAAATAGTTTCCTAGAAGAAATATTTGAGTTGATGCACATGCTCATTTCTAGTTAGCAAAGGTCATGTTTTTCTAAGAAACTACTAGTTTGAGATTGAATGACCTTATTTGGAGGATGTTATTTTGCTCAAAAGTTGCGTTGAATTGAAGAACTTCTCACAAAAGAGTTTAATAAACTGGTACTGTACCTAAAGCACTAACTTCAGTCATCAGAGGGTTATTTTGTTATAATTACACAGACATCTGAGACAGAGGTGAGAAGAAAAACCAGTTTGTCTGAGTTGTTTCCAGATGCCCTAAACTACCAGAAGATTTAATTGCTTTATGGGGGCCAGACTTGTGAAGAGAGCATATATTTTATCAGATAAACCTAGGAGAAATGAAGTTCTTGTAGGCCATTGACTGAAGCCCCCTATGAATGTTATGATCCCTAAGAAGGAAGGTGTAGGGAGAAAGACAGGAGGGAGGAGTAAGAGAAGAGGAAACTCCAGAGCAGGCACATTAGCTGAAGTGGTATGATCAATGTGATGCTGTTTTCCTCAGCAACTGGATCCTGCACTGTAAACCAGGTAGTTTCACCCCTGTCCTCAGTAAATTGGAAACCTGTATCATTATAAAAAATGAGCAATTGTTTTACCATCAGAAAAAAACTCTACCAACTTCTTCATTTGTTTTTGACTTGACTAGACTTTGGACTTTGGTTAACCAAATCTGAAACCAAAAGTTCATTTCTAGTATACAACCTGTAAGAACGGACGTTTAACATATAAATCCTTAAAATACTTTTTCTGTGTACTACTATTATGCTTAACACTTTTACAGTCTTATCATAAACTTTTCTCATGTGAAGAAAGTGTAACATTTACATATGAGAATGTATTTCCACAGCTGAAGAAATGTGCAGGCTTTTAATTCCAGTTTAGTCCCAGTAGTATTTTAGTATAGTTTATATTGTGGAGTCACTGTCAAATATTTTCATTTTTACGGTCTGAAGGCTGTGTTGAATGAAGTTTTCCGAAACTGGCCTTTCGGAGAATCTGATGTCCCGTGGTCTAGTGGACCGGTTCTTTTTTATCGAGTTTTGAATTGTATCCGATGTAAAGTAATAGACTATGGGGTCAAAACAGCAGTTTGAAACGGCGATGCACAGAGTGATGGGGTACATAGTTCTGACTGCAGTTACCACTGAACAATTAACCCAAGTTTGTGTTCTCATAAGGGAGTAAAGTATTAAGGTAATGTTATAAGGCACAAAGCAGAAGCAGAATATCACCAAATGGACAAAAATCATTTTGAGTACCTTTTTCTTGCTTAATTTATTCCGACTTAAAGTAAGCGGTTTATTCAAAGTCCGTAAGACCATAGTAGAGCAGGTCACATTCAAGATGAGGGGAATAAAAAACCCAACTATTTCAATGAAGATAACAATCCGGGATAGGTAGGTTTTCCATGTGTCCTCTGAAAAGTTTTCAAAACATGTTCTTTGTTCAGTATTATTACGGCGGTTTGTAGACTGGAAAAAGCTTGCCGGTGTGCTGCCTGCTAACACGGTTATCCATACTGCAACACAGACAATTTTTGCGTTCCTTTTGGTTCGGAGAGTCTTAGATCGAAAGGGGTGTACTATAGCTAAAAAGCGATCTACACTTATGCAAGTCAGAAATAAAATGCTGCCATACATATTTGTATAAAAGAGGGTGACTGAAATCTTGCAAAGAATGTCTCCAAATGGCCAGTTTCTTGCCACAAAGTAATAAATCCTGAAGGGTAACGTAAACACGAAAAGCAGATCTGATATTGCTAAATTAAGCATGTAAGTTGTGGTCTCATTTCGCATTTTTAATGTGCAAGTAAAAATGTAGATAGCAACACAGTTTGCTATGAGGCCAAGAACAAACACCATACTAAAGATACACCCATATAAAGTATATTTAAAGGAGTCCTCAGTGGAACAATTAGAGCTTACCATTATAATGGTATATTTAAAATTCCTGTGATTTGGAGGTTTCTCTGGTATTTTTATTGCAACTCTTTTTTTTTTTAAATTCCAGAAGAACTTGTTGATGTATTTGAACTGTGTGCTTTGGTGAGCTTGTTGCACTGTAAAGCTTCAGAGAAGAAACAGGAGCTCTGTAGCAGGGGAGTACACCTCCAGCAGGTCACTCTTCTCTTCCAAGTGCTGTTTATAATCACATAGCCCGTCTCTGAGATTCAGAAAACACATCATTTGTGGCAGATGAGGTCATCCCAAAGCTTGCCCAGTTCCATTTCCCCCCCTCGATTTGATGAAGCCCTTGTAGAACTTTCTGCCTTACTTTTGGCTGCAGATCATGATGGCGAAGTCTGGTCCATCCAAATTTACTGGGAACGTACGCTGGACGCCGCAAAGCATCGGCGCTTGCATTTCTCCCTCAGCCTCTTTTCTGTAAAACGAGCTTTTTCGGCTCCTCGGAGTGCTTGCTTACCAGCAGGGCGAGGAATCAAGCTGCTTGCGAGGGCAAAAACCAAATTCCAGAGCGTGTTTGTTCCTGCAGAGCACGGCCCCGGCGTCCTGCGCCCCGGCAGCCTCTCGCCAGCCCGGCTGCTCCTTCTGGAGAGACGAGAAGAGAGCTCAGGCAATTAGTAGTGTGACATCACAGGAAGAAGAGGCCGAACTCCAGCTGAAGAATGGTTTCAGTTCGGTTTGTTTGCCTTCCTCTAATCTGGTAATGTGTCTGCTGGGACTGTACCTTGCAAATGGTCACCAGCAGAGTGCTGCTGCTGCTGTTCTTTCCCTGCTCCCTGTGAAAGGTACTTTGCAAACGTTGGAGTCCGAAAGCTTCATTGCAAGATCTTTTTCTTAGCTATGAGGATACTTTTCAGCGTCTGTACAACTCTCGTGCCTTAGAACTCCAGTTTTTCTTTGGAGGTAGTAGTAATTATGGGATTTTATGCTTTATGGAGAATTGCACTAGCATTACTTTTTTTTTTCTTATAGATATCTTTGCTTGTGATAGATAACACGTTAATCACCAGAAATCAGCCAAGTAGTTCTGTCTCGATTCCCTCAATACATCAGTACAAACCTCAGGAGGGACAAAGTGACATTGATATGTAATTAAATAATTTCACCAAATAATTACTTAGGCATAAAGATTATGAACCTGTGGGTTGCTCTTAGTCCCAGGACTGAGATGTGTTGCAGCGGGAGGAGAAATTTTTAACTTGTTCCCTGTTAGAAAGCATATCCCATGCTCTCTTTCTAATCAGAAAGATGGTTCTTTTTACAAAAAAAATATGCTTTGATTTTTTTTGTTTTTCCAAATTTTGTTGTACGGAAAGTATTTTCTTCAGTATGTAAGCACAGAATAAATATACCAAAATAAATACTGCACTATGAAATTGTTTCTGATAATTTAAAGGGGGAGCATTTATTGCACACACACAAAATGCTCCCATTAGTCACTGATTAATGAAACGAAAACATGTTGTAACTAATTAAATTGTTAAGTAAATATAAAAAAAGCAGCTCTTATTGCCTTTAGGGGCAGATATGAGATAAATCTCAGTTTAGACAGACTCATTTATTTAACAACAGCTTGGATAGACTCACTTCTGGCATCAAAACCAGTCTATTTCTAAGTCTTAGAATAACAAATCTCTTCATATCTGGCTGGGTGGCATGGTTCTTTTGAACTAGATTTTAAGCAGGTGTACCTAAGCTAGGCTCTGGGCAAAACCTTTTTAGTCTGCTGTAAAGGAGAGTAAATAGTAGCACTTCACAGGGTTTTGGCGTAGTTTCTTAATGTAAGGCATACATCAGACAAAATTCAGAAACATGCAAAAATGGGTCTTGCTTATTTTATTTCAAGTTGTCTTGATAAGTTTCTTCTGTGAAACTCTTTCACCTTGATTTTTGAGGTGAAATCAAGCAGTTTCACTTCAGCAGGCTATAACCACAAGAAACCTTTTTAACTATTTTTGAAATTCATACTTAACTGTAAAAAGCAGTGCATTTTCCACTTCTAAGTCAGCAAGAAATGAAAATGTGAGCTTGGTAGCCACAGTCTCTTGTGTGCCCAACTTAACTTGTACTTTAGCATGAAGTTGCCTTACCTGGCTTCCCTCACAAAAGCAGTTGTCACATGTGGATTTATTTTGTTTGTGGTCCCAGGAGCCTTGTGTGGTGAAAGGGGAGTTTTCTGGAAGGGTCCCAGAGTTCTGCATTGGGACGTGGGAGCGCAGAGCTCAGTTTTCCTGCTCTGGCTTTGTTTGCACAGGAAAACTGTGTGGGGCAGGCTCAGTTACGGGAATGAAACTACCTTGACGTACAGAAATTTGACATCACATGCCAAAACCTCAAGCAATGTTTCATCTTTAGAGAGAGAGAAATGAATTGAAATGAGTAGGTCTCCTACTAATCAATATGTGATTTTTCTGTTTGCACTGAGGTGTGGGTGCAGAGAGAAAGGGTGGGGATGTCTGACCAGGGGCACTGTCCATTTTTCCATGGTAAATATGTTTTAGACAGTCACGAAGCTGCATCTTCAGCTATCAGTTTGTCCATCAGAGCCCCTGCCCTGCTGTGGCCTGTGGTTTTGCTCCTGTTATGAACGTGGGTGCTACTCAGAGCTGTATTTTAGGGGCTTGGGTATACGCTTCTGCTATCTTTGGGACTTTATCTTGCCCCTACACCGTTTTGGTGCAGAGCAGTATGTGAACCTTACACTAATTGAAGAACTAAGTCATATTTGTATGCTTCCAGAAATAGCATTCAGCTGCAGGGTTTCTCTGCCTGCAGAAGAAAATTTGAAGACCCCGAGTTGACAGATTTCTACTTCATATCATGTCTCAGTGAGGAAGTGTATGACTGAGCAGGCGGTCTGACTCAATTTAGTGTAAAAGCGTGAATGGCAAGGGTGAATGGGGTACCCCTTTTCTTAAATGAGATGTGGCTGATTGTTACCAAGCAGTGTTTTAATTTGCATGAACTTTCTGAGCTGAAGAACCTGCGTTAGTGCACCGCAAGCCCTGGGAGTTAAGCGCAGCCTCCCTTCTGGCCGGGCTCCAGCATGAGCAGGGAGGAAACTTCATCACGCGCTCTCCTTTCCTTGGATCACGCTTCAAGATGTTGGGCTTTGTGCCGTCAGATTTGGAAAAGCCTTCCGTTAGCCCCAATACTTTAAAAAATAAAAAGAGGTTGCTCAGTTCTTATGGAGGAAGAATTGGTGTGGTAATGACCTTGCTTATGCTTCTTCACCACAGGGCAGCTTTTCCTTTGGGATGGGGAGGGGTGGTAGGCAGGAGGAAGCAGCTGCAGGGAGGGCCCCGTATGCTCAGGGTGTTGGGTTTTTTTTTTTTTTTTTTGTTTTTCCTCCAAAGGAAACAATGCTGTGACTGCAGGGAGATACATATGTAAGTCTGTCTGCATCAGAGACGGGGATGAGTTAGGACCTGTCGTTGGTTGCTAGTGTGAGATGAGCAAAGACTGCATTTTCATCAACAGGCTTCCTGTAGCTCTTGAAGAGGCATTGAAGGGAGAGTGAGCGTGGGCTCCTTAAAGTTGAGAGCCTATGAGATGATTGAAATCATCTCTCACTTCAGCAGTGAACAGATTTTGTATGTTCCTTTAGTTGATTACCACTTAGCTCTGCTTCCATGAGTTTAGATAGCCGAGTTTTGATGTCTAGCACTCTTTACACCCTCGAGTGATCTGGGATGTGTGTGGCAGCATTGAACCGGGCACCAGGAGGAAAAGTCCTTATAACCCTGGCAGTGTGCTAGTAGCAGCTGTAGGACGCTGCCACCAGCAACTGCTGCTTCCTCTCATGCCCATATGTCATAAAGTTGGAGACTTGCTGTCATTTGGGGCACAGGGGCAGGATCCTTTAAATTCAGAAGTTCACGCTGAGTGGTAAAGAAATATTTCACTGAAATAAAACAAGTATTGGAAGGCTTTTCTAACACATCAGAGTTGGTTTTGCCAATGTTGTGTGTTCCTCTGGTGTTACCCTAGTCTTCGGTGCTGGAATCGGACAGAATTTGTAGTCAAAGGTGAAATTAATTTTGAACTTGTCTCGTGTACCACATTTAGTCTGATGCTACTACTAAAAGCTCTTACTTACGTTAGAGGAAGAAAACAACTTCAACATTAGTAATGTTGTAATAAATTCTCACAGTGCTTCCAAAGCCAGAGTATGCAGTGTTAAATGAAGGTTGTCGGAGATGCGCACAGGGCCATGTGCAACCCCATTATTCCATAACTATAAACCAATGTTACTGCTTGTAGAGGCACAACTGGATCATGGTCAAAGCATTTGTTCTCGCTTTGGGTAAGCATGTTTATGCAAAAGGACTTGTGCTATCTGTCGCCGTGAAGACAAACCCTGGCAGGACAGTATTTTCTTTGCCCTAAGTGTTATTTATTATTCGTCCAATCATTTTCATGGGTTAGTAATGATTTCTGCAGCATTTTTATGAGAGTTTCTCTTTGAGCATGTGTATGTACAGGAAGGAATTTATTATGGCTAAGACATAGGGTTGGGAGCCAGGAAGTCTGTTTCTGGCTGTGCCACAGATTTTCTGTTCAAGTCCTGGCAAAGCTTTCTATGACTTCGTGCTTCAGCTTCACTCCCGTGTAAGAGCTGCTTCCCTTCCTCACTGGGATGCGGGGCCATCTTAATTGTTAAAAACAGTTTGAAGTCCTTGGATAGAGAACTCTTTATTAAAGATTATATTGGGATAATTGCCATGGCTAGTGAATGCAATAAAAATTACAGGAAGATTGAAATTTTAGTATTTTTAGATTAGATTTCTGCCATGCAAAAGAATCTGTTAAAAGATTTTGCTTGATTCAACTCCGAAAGTCTACGGGGAAGTAGGTACAGAGAAGGCAGGTCTGGGAACTTCAACCTTCTCAGCTACCTTTCAGGAGCTGCCTGCTCAGACACTCATAAGTGCTGTAAGACTGCTTCTGGTAAGTGGCTTATT